ACATAGTGCACCAACTTCACCATGTCGTGGGTGAATGTAGCGCTCATCTCATATAGTACCACAGATAACGATACAAGAGCCATAAAGTAGCTTTCAGACAAATGTCGTCGTGCCCGTACATGAAAAGAACCATATTTGTGTCTTTCATAGACAACGCATCCTTATATATGGTGTAGGAGATATTTTTCTTTGAGATGAAGAAGTTATAAAGTGATATGAAATAGAAATAATAATATTAATGGCACCTTGGTTGGATTGGTTTGGTCTAAAGGAAGTCTGAGGTTTGGTGAAGCAGGAAGGAACGTAGCTGAACAGAAAGATGGCAGCTTCCTGTCAGAGATCTGATCTGACTGTCACATCCTGTTTGACTCTGACTCCCAATTTACACAGTTTGATTTATACAACGCAAATCACAACAACAGTCGCCTCAAGGTGCTTTATGTTGTACCGTAGATACAGAGAAAACCCAACGATCATATGACCCCCTATGAGCAGCACTTTGGTGACAGTGGGAAGGAAAAACTCCCTTTTAACAGGAAGTTTTCCTTCCTACTGTCCTTCCTTGACCCCTCGTGTCCCAGCATGAGTCTGAAAGGTTCATGGGGTCGAGGGATCTCGTCAACCTTCACACTCACGTGTGATTAACTGTAATTTAATCAATCAACAACTGTGCTTTTACTTGTTCTGCTTTTCTGAACGTTCATGAATGAAAACAGCAATATTACATATATCTGGATTCAACCTCACAGAAACATCCAAGTCAGTTTTTAATAACTGCCATGCAGCTGACGCGGGGACAGCTCTCTGTGGGCGTGGAGCACTCACCGTGGGTTGCACAGGGTGAACGTCGTGGTCTTGTTCTGGATCTCGATGCTGCACTGACGGTGAGTTTGGACACTCATGATGAACCTGTGCAGAGGAGCAGAGAAATGAGAGTCAGAGGAAGTCCTTCCTGTCCTGGATCCTGGACTCTGGGTTGTTGGTGAGCATCATCATGCAGGGGAGGGAGACGCAGTCCAGCCCTGTGCTCAGCTTCAGATTGGCTCAGTCAGCATCACGTGATCGGGTCACGCCTGAGCTGTTATTATGTTTCTCACTTTGTTATTTCCTGTTCGCTACCACACACACACTTCCTGAGCTCTCAGCTGCATGATGGAAATATTTAAATGATTATTACACCCGCAGGTCCTCTCAGCCTCATCGCCACCTCCTCTTTTTCCTACCTTACTGAGGGGAGGACGGTAACGTGAGCCCGTGTCTAGCTAACCGTGAAGACGAGTGATCGTGTGAAGAACAGCTGATATCTGGGAGTCACAGAGGCGCCATGAGCCTGAAATCAGCATCAGAGCCCTCAAGCCAAGAATTCAATTCAATTCAATTCAATGTTATTTATATAGCGCCAAATCACAACAAAAGTCGCCTCAAGGCGCTTCATAGATACAGAGAAAAACCCAACAATCATATGACCCCCTATGAGCAGCACTTTGGCAACAGTGGGAAGGAAAAACTCCCTTTTAACAGGAAGAAACCTCCAGCAGAACCAGGCTCAGGGAGGGGCGGGGCCATCTGCTGTGATTGGTTGGGGTGAGAAAAGGAAGACAGGATAAAAAGAGCGCAGGACACCAATGACTCACATGTGACCTGACAGTAAATCCATTACAGGGTTACCTCGGTGACCACAGCCTGGGCGGAGGGCTGTCCGTTGTGTGTACAGGTGCGTCTGCAGAGCAGGAGTCCCGGGGTAACGGAGACTCGGGACTTTAAAAGCACCAAAGTAAGGATGGCGTCCACGTTCCTGCAGGAGCGACGTGCACACACACTGAGCGCAGGAAGCCTGAGCGTTACACACACGCGTCAAACACGTCTCAGTGATATCAGGTCGTTTTCAGCAACAGACGACTTTCCCGTAACTTTAATGTTTATGGACCCGGGTAAAAACAGCGCCATTAAAAATCAGTTTTGAAGAGACGAGAGGCAAACACAACAAGAGCTCTGCAAACTCACAGAGTGCACGTTCAATACCACGCACTCATAGAGACGATAGGTCATCTTCATCAGAACGAACACAGAAACACCGACGGTGACCATGTTCTCCACGTCCACGCAGTGCACTCCACACAGACACACACACACACACACACACACACACAAACACACACTTGTGTCTGTGTGTGTGTGTCTGTGTGTTTGTGTGTGTGTGTGTGTACTATGTTTACATATCTTTGTGTCTGCTTTGATGGTTGGGGTGAACAGCTGGGGAAAGCATAATGCCAACTATCTGTGCTCACAGAGATATGTAAACATGATACACACACACACACACAAACTCACACACACACAGACAGACAGACACACACACACACACACACACACACACACTCTGTCCTCTTACCTGCTGCCTTCGACTGCCTCACACAAATCCTCTTCTGTCTGTTTTGCTCCTGTATGACACGACCACCCCTCCCTGTCACTTCCTGTCCCACTTCCTCTTTCACTGTGATGTTTTCACTGACTGCCGTCTCTCAGCCTGGCAGCAGGTTTGAAACCGCTCTGACACGAGCTGGCCGACGGTCAGAGCCCCTGTGGGTCATAAGAGGCGTGTTCTTGGCCCGAGTCAATGGTGCCCCCGACGCCATCGGTCACCCGACTTTCCACCAGCACAACCACTTTAATACTGAAGCTCTGATGAGTCTCAGTCAGAAGACAACATCTGTATGCAGCTGTGTGACAAGCAGAAACCAGCACTGGTAATCTGATGTTTGACCATTCACTACTGGAGACTTCACAAAGTGCATTCTGGGTAAATTGTGAGTCTGATTTCTTCACTTATGACTTTAAAGCCATTTCACTGGAAATCTGAAGGAGTTCAACATGATGACATGACTGAGGCATTGTGTAACAGTGTGCTGGTGGGAGGAGCCGCCGCCCAGAGCCTGATCAC